GACATTTGGGGACGTACAAAACTCTCTTGTGAGAGATGATTCCTTGGGTAAGGGGAAGGCACTTTTGTGCCCTTTGAGAAATGCGAGAACCCAATACTTCCATCTAGTGGCCTTGAGGAGAACTTCAAACGGAACCCTATTGGCCTATAGGGTTCCGTATAGGCACTATAGGGAACCCTATAGGCCCTATAGGGAACCCTATAGGTCCTTTAGAGAATCCTATAAGTCCTATAGCGAACACTACAGGTCCAATACAGAACCCTTTGGGTCCTATAGGGAACCTTTAGGCCTTATGGGGAACCCTATTACTTCTATAGGGAACCCATTAGGTTCTATAGGGAACTCTATAGGTCCCAAACTGAACTCAATGTGGCACATAGGAACCTATAGGATTCCTTTAGGTTCCTATGGGATTCCTATAGGACTCTTCTATATTCCTAAATGAATATATAGGAATCCTATAAGACATTTTCGTAAGGGCATAAAGCCTATAGTTTCCCTATGGGTTCTGTAAAGGACCCGTAGGGTTCCCAATAAAACGTATGGGGTTACCTATAGGATCTGTAGGGTTCGCTATAGGACCTATAGGATTCTCTATGGGACCTATAGGGTTCCCTATCGGGCTATAGGGTTCAGTTTGAAGTTTTCCTCTAGGCTACTAGATGGAAGTATGCGGTTGTTGCATTTCTCAATGGGCACAAAATTGCCCTCCCCTTACCCAAGGAATCACCTCTCACAAGAGAGTTTTGTACGTCCCCAAATGTCTCGCCTTGCCTCATTGTAGCAATCAATAAACTTCGACAGTTCCTTATTTGTCATCCCCATCTTCCAAATAGAATCACTGAGACCCGTGAAGAAATATGCCCCAATTCCTTTTCAAAACCACGTACGAAACTGAGTAGACTCTAACCAAATGGATTTTCAGTAAAGTGGCATGCTCCCAGGTTCTGTTTTCTATTTTCTTGTTTCGAAAGAAGAATATTACTTTTTCCTACCTAAGGAAGTAGACGTGCAATCCAGTGACATATGTTGGACGGGGCCATAAAATATACAGACCCCAGCAGTACTGATATTAATAAAGCATCCATCCCTACCATGGAAAAGCCCCTAATCGGTTTTTGGTTTACACCGAAATGCTGCGTGAGCCGTGGAAGCCGTGGAGCTGTGGAAAGTGAGCCAAGATCAACTTGTGAAGAAAATGGGGCATTATGAGTGAAAACATGAATAGTCTTTTCTTGGAGCTACGAAAAATAATTAAAGTCTGTCCCGAAATTATATGAGTTCCAGGGATCATATCCGAGCTCCTGTCTCAAGTCCATATACTATTGATATTTTAAACGTTATTTGCTGTAGAATTGAATGGTGCTTTTACGAGAGACTAGATACTGGGTTGTGGTGTGAATCACCTTCTGGCAGAGAAGTCCTCCGTTGGTTTCCTTCCATCCCTTTTTCTGGAGATACCTGTAGAGATGATTAGAGTAAATAAGTTTTACATTTTTTTTTAAAAAGTTACAGACATTGGATTGAGATCGTACAAAATCCCACCAAAACATTGCCCCAATTACAATTATTAGAGGAATGCCGATATAATGGGTCTCTTCTCTTGTGCTAAGAAGACATTTATCAGAGGATGGTGCTTCTGGAATTTGCGTTTTGGAATTGGAAGAATCAATTCGTGTCTGAAGCCAAAGGAAAAGGAATACTGAATGCAACAGGAGCATCTCGTGTTGATCAGAAAATTCCCAGTCAAGGACGATCAATTCATTGTTTTATTTACTGGCGCCAACAAATAAACAAACAAACTAATCCTGTTACCTCATATATCCTCATATCGCATAAGTCATCGCATAAGTAATGCGGTTTTTCCGCATTACCAAACAAAAAGGAAGATCCTGTTGTAACTGTTGAAGAACTTGCCGAGAAAATCAATTCGGCCAATTCCACCATTCAATGCCACGGGGAAACGACGGGGCGGGAAACGACAGGACAGGAAACGACGGGAAACAACGGCTGGGAAAAGTGTCAAAACTTTGAAAGTGGGTTTCAGATTTGTTGTCACCAGACATTCTTAGAGATGTGGAAAACAATTCCGCTTCACTGCATTCTCGTGAACTTCAAGCTCGTTTTTGAATTGACTCATTAGCAGAATCTTCTTCAAGTGTGACTATCAGTAGGTCACCATCGAACTCAACATGTCGGCCTGAACACGCTTCATCGGCTAAGCTGTAGTCACCAGTCCTGAATTTCTGGAACCACTGTTGGCATTTCCTCGCATTTAGAGCTTCCTCACCAAAAACATCTTGATGGTTTTTCGTGGCTGCAGTCGCGTTATTCCTTTTCTTAAATTCATAAAGCATTATCTGTCTAATGTGTTCCTCTGACACCTCCATCTTGTTTTTAACGTCTACGAAAAACGGAATGCGGTTAACTCGTTAAAGCCTACACGAAGATTGAAGACTAACGTCTACACAAGTTAGCATAGAAATTTTCCATGAGATATACATAGACACACGTATAAACAAGACACAAGTTTGGCAATGCCGAAAAACCGCATTACTTATGCGATGACCTCTTTCTAAGATCATGACCCTCTAACCGGATTCAGCATACAATGTACAGCTATGCACAGATTACCGAGAGAGAGGTATGAAAATCGCACGATGCAAGTTGATTTCTGGAAACAGCACCTTAAGAGTATGACTTTGTTGATTCAAAAATGCTTCAGAGTCATCCAGAGAAGAGCGGAGAGGAGGATAGAATTTCAGGGGCCGGTGGAGAAGGAGGCCTCTTCTCTCCATCTCCAACCAGAGCTTCATTCGGTTTTTTGCTGCCAAATGAGTTCCCCCATCGACAATGAATAGAGTCCGGATGGCTCGAGAGATCCCCTCCACGACCCATGAGTCCTCAACGCCCACGCACATCACTTCGGAAATTTCCATGCCTCGGAAATCCCGTGGGTGATGTATTTGTACCGTTTTATCCTTTGAAGTCGAAGTGAAGTTCTCCAGGATTTCACCGTCCGAGATAAGCACCACGACATTCTCCTTCCAACCAGACTGAGCAATATTTCCAAATGACAGGAAAAGTTTCAAAGGAAATTATTTCTTTCTTTAGAGGGTAGAATTCAAATGCGTACATGGCGGAAATTCAATCCATGAAACCCAACTTTCACCAGATGGAGTGACTTAGGATATAGTAGAACGTGGATTACGAGCTTGAATTTAAATGCTTGTTTAACCTCCCTCCATTCTTGAGGCAAGTAAGGAGGCACATTTCGATTCAACGTTTTAAATCAAAGCACTTAAGCATATAGGCCATCCAGGCATTCGAGAGTGAGTTGGAGATAAGAACCTATGCTGCTATTAATAGCAATTTGTGCGGTCTATTGTAAAAATGGCAAGAACGAAGAAAAATGAGATATCTGATGGGGATTTTCCATGCCCTTGGGCAGGCAAGCCGAGTTTACCTGCCTCCTGAGTTTGTTAGCTTATATATGTGACAGTGTTGAAATTAGTCGAGCTGTGATTGCCTACTTTCGCCCATGGGAATGCTCATATTGCGTCATCCATAGAGATATTCAAGAAAGTGATGATGACTGTTCTGATGCTTCACCTAGTGTCACTAGGCGCGGAGGGCACATTTAAAAATGCTTCAAACGACTGATTATGGGAGTGCACTTCATACAGAAAGGGACTGTGACTTGTGAAAAATAGAAAGGCAGGTCTTGAGTCGACTGTAGGGCGATACATTATTCTAATGCACAATTTTTATGTTTAAATGATTTGATGCATGTCATATTTGCTTTCATTGAAATAAAAATCTAGCAGTATCGACGCACTCCACTTTGAGATATACTCGACTCCGTGGGGGAGACAATGACAGGTCTTCTACACGGCCATTTGTCATGCCTGAAGACCGGATTTGTCACGATCATCTAAGCACAACTCTAATATGTTGTGCTTGTATGTGTGTGTGTGTTGGTGGTGGGAGTGCGTTTGACGATGGCGAGAGAGAAATGTTCTAAACCCGAAAGCTGTCCCATCCCCAAGTTTTTCCTGATGCAGTACATTATGTAATTAACTAAAGCAACCATTTCGCCCTTTCGAAAAAGGATGAGGAAATCGTGTTACTCCGAGATATTATACTCCAATGGAATTCCCCGAAATATTTAGATTTTTCTTGAAATTAGCTCTTCACAGCTACTTACATAATGCATTTCAGCTAACGTGACAGCTAGATTTTCAACAAAAAAATTCTATGAGTTTGGAAGTTTCAGATATTTGCTATGGTTTTTTCGGAGTTCATAGCGAATCTGAAATACGTTATCTTGAAAGGATTCTTATCCTATCCCCGCATATTCCTATTGGGCTTGTGCATGTATCATTCCATGCAGAGGAGTAAATGGAGATGAAAGAGGAGATGAAAAAGATTAGGCAATTTAATAATAAACATACTCGTTCGTTGAAGTGGAGGTAATCAGCAGCAGTCATAGCGACGCATTTTCTACCATGACGACCATCGCACTTGACTCCCTGATGGTGGTAATGTGTTCGTGAAGGAGGAGTGATGAGGATTGGTTTCTCCCCGGACACCAGACACGATGGCCTGGGGTTCGTGTTCAAGACCCCATGCTTCACCCTCAGCTCTTGTGGGGATTCATGTAAGAGGACATAATCTAGGAGGTTGGGGAAGCCCACATCTTGGGAACCCTCCTGGATTATGATATTCACCCCTAAGAGAAAAGGAAGCGTCAGTATTTGCTGGTAGAAAGTAATTGGGAAGGCTCGAGAGGAACCTCTTTAGAATGTGAAGTGCAGTAATTCCAACTTCCCATATTGGAAGTAAAATGCTTCCTGGAGCCTCCTGATTTCCTAAACGTTGAAATTATCGTTTTACAGACTGATAGGTTCCAACGGAGAAGATTGCTTCCTCATTCCTTTTCTACTCTAGAACAGAAGCCATGCAATTTCAACCTAATATGCAACGCACTTCCAATGTTGAAGGAAAATGAATGTGCGAGTAGGAATTGCCTCTGTGGTTCTTGACCCAGAAGGCAATGAAAGGGCATACCATCACAAAATTGTGCCTCCTACTGTCTCAGCAGACTCAAACGCTTTTTCTTCTTCCTTTGTTTCTGAGATAGGATATCCAAGAATATCCTTTCACCAGCTTAAATCCAAAGCTTTTGAAAGCATACCACATTAATTTGATGAAATCATAATCCAACGACACCGAAATAAATACTGGATGTTAAAGAAATGGGGATAAAGGATATTGTATGGTTCTTCAGAAAATATGTGCACTTACTTTTATAATCTAGTCAATGGCATCAGAGCAGTTGCGCAGACAGGCATAAGGTATAGTACAGAGCTTCAGCCTCAATTTACACTATGTTCATTTAGATACCCCTGTAACTATCTAAAAGTGGCCGCAGTTCTTAACCGCTGAGGGTCTCATGGCATGCAACTTTGAATGATTTAGTTACTGAGTACATTGCCGGTAACAATTCCTTGCTGCTCTCAACAACCCTCTCAGAATACATCATTTGCTCATGTAAGTGGTTGGAACCAATGCATTATGTGGGAAAACATTTTACAACTGGATATTGAACTCATTGATCGTCTGAAAATATTTGATGAGCTGGGAAATTTTTTCGAAGATACCAAGTAGAGCATGGACAGGAGCGTACCCGCCTAATGTGTGGAAAATGGAATCCTGCTGTATACCAGAAAATATAACTCCAATTTTTTCATGCGGGTATACTTTTCCTTTAAAAAACCACGGAATAACTCTGCATTACGAGTAAGTACGAAATGGGACTTTCGTCTCATTGTGCAGTAAATTCCAAATATTTTTCTTCTCGGAAACTGATTTCCCCATGAGTAAGTGAGCTTGGTGTTTCTAATTTGATTTACTGTTATGAAAGAATATGAATAAAAATTATGCTATTTTTCTTAAACTATTTCCATTAAGTTACCCACCTCTCAGTAACATGACGTCATAATGAAAATGTACAAAATCTAGATCTACCGCTTGATGTTAAAGCATCCAGTTCTACCGAACAGGTTTCCAAGGCTCTAAACACAATCAAATGTAGTGATATAGTTGAGAGGCAAAGACTCGAGAATTGCGAGATTGTTTGCCTGAGGGTAAAATCATATTTCAGCAGACAGAGCTCGACATGACAATTGGATAAACAACAATGATAACATTATTTATGAAAACATGACATGTGGGGGATTTTTAGTCCTTGCATTATTTTTCATCTGACTGAAGGAGAAATACCAGACGATGTTGCATTTTGCTGTTTGATGTAGAAAATGGTGGATGAAGGGAAGTGGAAGTGGGAAGTCTGGTTCTATTATGACGACCCTCTCAATAGGAGGCAAAGCATGACGAGATGTTGCAAGACAAGGAACCCCTTATGAACGTAATCTAATAATATATAGACGATCGTGACTGACTGACTGACTGACGCTAACTCTAACCATGTTCTAGAAGGGTTAGAAATGGAAAACTTGGTACACATGTACCTTTTGGGATGCAGAGTTAAAAAATCCGACTTTGGAGGTACATGCCCTGGGGGTATAACATTTTGGGGGGAAACGTATTTCTCAAATATATTTTGTGACTGATGAGGATGGCATTCAGAGAGCCAACTGGTCGTCCTGGGTTCGGTGCTGTTGTAGTAGCATCCCTGACTGGCAAGCAGGAGGTCCGGGTTCAATTCCCGGCCATTCCTTGGCTTCTTTTGCCTTCCATGTCCTGTTACTCATTCCCCAACCATAACATTTTTCTTGCTTGAGTAAAACGGAGAGATATGGAAAGCTGAAATCTGGCAAGGAGGTGTATACCAAGATGATGAGTTCAGGAAAAATGCAAAATTTTAGATCCATGCCCCTGGGGGATATTTTTTGGAGACTGACGTCTTCAGGTATTTTTTTTGTCCTGGCGTATTGAGCTAGTGTGGAAAGATGAAACTTGGTACATATCTACCTATTGGGATGCTGCAGGAAACTTCAGACTTTAGAAGTAAATGCCCTCGTGGGGAGAAATTTCGAATGGAGATGTTTTTAACTAATTTATTTGCATCTGTTAAACTGTTGAACATGAAAAATTGAAACTTTGCATGAATGTGACTATTGAGACAAACCAGCAAACAAGACTACGTTGGACCAACGTTGGTATAACGTTACGAACGTCGATTCAATGTTACTTTAACGTTGAGTCAAAGTTTTGTGTTTCAAATTGTTTGCTGTGAAGGAGTTAAAGAAAAATGTTAAGACTTGATACATCCCCTGGGGGAGTTTTTTCGAGGGGCGATGTTTTGAAAAAAAAATTGTTGTGGCGAATTGGACAGAAATGGGAAGGTGGATCTTGGCACACGTATAAGTGACATGATATTACTGAGCTGAGGAAGTATTCAGCTTTCATGGGGCATCCCCTCCGAGCATAGCTTTTGGGCAGGCCGGCTTTTCCAAACATGTTTTTTCACCAGCGAAAAGGGCAAGCGTATAATATTAAAACTTTGTGGGCATATAGTTCACCGAGGATGGATATCGGTATAAAAAAAGGTACTTTTCGGTGAAAACGGCTCAGGGTACATATTTTGCAAAAAGCGTATTTTCACGAATTTTCTAATCCAGCAAAAGAGTGGGCGCATGAAAGTTAAAAACTTGGCATATAAGTACCTGATGGATAGCTGCGTAAAGAAAAAATTCTACTTTTATTATATATGGACGATCGTGAGTAGCTGACTGACTGACATAAGTAGCTATTCGCATGCTGAGTTCAGGGAAAGGTCTACTTTGGTGATGCATGCCGTAGGGGCGCTCCTTTTGGGAAACATATTTTCAAATAGTTCTCTTTGCTTCAAACGGAGACACATGGAAAGATGAAACTTGGCAAGAACGTGATCGTTGATGCACTGAGCTCAAATGTTAAACGTGAAATTTCCAAAATAGTTTTGGGGTTCATACTTCTTGAGGACGAAACGTTTTAAAATAATTTTTCATATACAACCGAATCGGGAAGAAATAGAAAAGTAGCTGGCGCACGCATAACGGACGTGATGTTCATTTAAGGAAAATTTCAACTTTAGTTGTGCGTCTCCTTGGACTACAGATTTTGGGTGGGTCGCGTTTCCAAATACATTTTTTCCGCCAGCAAAAAGGGGAAACGCATAAGGCTGAAACTAGGTGGTATGAAGTTCCCTGAGTCCACATTTTAAAAGGGAAAAAAAAATCGTTAAAACCCATCAGGGCACTTTTTTCAGTCCCATTGTCCTGAGTTTTTTTTTTTATCCAACGAAACAGATAGAAAATATAAACTTCCCTCAGAAGTACCTGTTTAATGGCCGAGAACAGGAAAAATCCTACTTTTGAAATATATCTCCTTACCGTAGATTATTGGAGGGAAGTATTTCAAAATGTATTCTCCACTCTTACAAAATGGGACACAAGAAAAGATTTAAAGTTAGGCACACATATAATCATAGAAGTAATGATGTCGATAAAAATCAAGACTTACGACCCCATATGTCACGTATTTTAATGGGGACGTACTTTAAAAACGTGTTTCCCATTTCGCAAAAAAAATGAATGAATTATTTACTATCCAAGGCAATGGAGCGCCGAAGGCGCGACCATAGCGAGTTTCTTTGCCCAAAGGGCAAACAAATTCGTACAGTATAATATTGGATTTTCCATATCAAAGAGTGGTCAGAGAATATCCAATTTCACATTGGAAATAATGACAGGTACAGAATTTGTGGTGAATTCAATTCTTCAAAAAAGTATTTTGAAGGTTCTCTTTTCATAGCATGCATAAAGCTGCACTTAAGAAATGGTGACTGGGAAACTTTACCCTTTTCTGGGGGTAGTTGGAATTTGTTCTTGAATTCCCTCACGTCGAAAGTAGTAGTTGCATAGCGGATATAGGGTTGAAAAGCAATTGTGAGAGAAACGAGAGAGGCATTGGATGAAAGTGACCCGAGAATATCTTCCCATTCTCCTGTGAGCCATTTTGTGTCCCCAGATTCATGACCAATAGGGTGAACAGGAGCATCGTCGAAGGCAATGTGGAGTCTTTGCTCTTCTTCCTCTTCAAGCATATTCTCCAAAAGTCGTTCCAGGACTCGTGGATCAGGAGACCCATGATTCCCAAGTCGATACTTCTTTAAGAGGTCGTGGATGTCAAAGATTTCAACCTTTTTTAAAAGCCCTGCTTTTCTTAGCCTCTCTGTTTTTTCCACCAAGGAGAGATTTTTTGGATAAGAATCCTTGGTCCATCTGCTGCAACTGACGAAAATTATCTTTCCGGAGGTTGTTTTACGTTTCCTTCGACTTCTAAAGGTTCTTGCAAGAATTGGCCCGTAATGTAATCCAAAGATACTTTGAAATATCCCAGGAATAATTACACGTGTAAATCTTGATGAAATTTCTTTGTCCTTCAACCTTTCCTTTTCTCGCTTTGCACTCCTCCCCAAACCATGTATAAGGAATTCTGTCTTCCCGGAACGATTAGGTCCAAAAATGAGATGGAACTTCCCTCCCATTTCCTCAAGTGACGAGTTATGAGAGCCTGCTCTTGTAAAAGTGACACTTGAAATCGGAGGAAAAGAAAGCTCAGCTAGTTCAGTATACAAACCACGTTGGGATGGCTCATGAGGTGTTTCATAGGAGCAAGAGATGAGATTGTGGCGGTCAGGTTCTTCCCAGTGACCAGATGCTAGTGGGTCAGTGGTAATTATATGCAAGGATCGTCTGGCCATCCCCACCATCCGAGACCAAGAACGATATGCGTTTACTCCACCATCCAAGAGAATTAGACGTTCGAACGAAATTCCCGTCACTTGCATTTCATAAAATACAAGGAATCCGAGGTTGTCTGGAGTACAGTGACCTCGAATTATGCCTTCAGAGTCAAGGAAGGCTACTAGCTGTCCCAACCGTCCGAGTTCTTGTACCAGTACATCCCTTTCCTCAAGATCTCTCGTGATGACAGTGAATAGTCGGGAATCTGTCCCGGATTGCCTTGGTACTGAGTCTTGAAAGATTTTAGAAAGAAGCTTCAGTACCGCATCTGCTGCCCATAGGAATACCCAATTGAGTTCGCGAGGAGCTTTGATGAAGACGACGTAGGGAAGCTGCTTCTTCTCACCGGGACTCATGACATGACTGAGTTTGTATTCCAAGCCTTGCATGGGGAGGGTACTGCAAGGGAACCGCTTCTGAATGAACTGAGTTACTTCTATCACAAATTTGCCGAGTTTTTGAGTATTCGCTTGATCTCATGAAGCAGTTCTACTTTATCCCGTCCTAAGACATCGATAACGGTCTGAATATGTAGGGTTTCGGGATATGTGGCGTCACTGGGACGCCACACGATCCAAACGCTCCTGCACTCCATTTTCTCTGAAAAGTCACTCCATCTTTTTCCGATCTCTTCCGGATTTGTTTCTTTCATCCCGAAGTTAACGGGCATTTCGTCAACCAAGATGTGGGTATATCTTTTGGAAAGGAAAACATTGTCAAGTTCTTCTTGATCACATGATTCTATCACCCGAATTTTGTCGTTGAGTTTGTGTGACTTGAACCACCTGATGATGTAGTCGCTCAGCTCTCCGCCTGACATGTTAATGAAGATGACCGCTTTATTTTTTTCTGCTAGTTGTTGCGCTCTCTTAAGGAGCAAGTAGGTCTTACCCGTACCTGGCCCCCCGGCAATGAACAGAATCCGCTTTTCTTCATGCAGGATTCTCTTCTGATCAGGAGTGAGAAAGACCAAAGCCATCTGCATATTTTCTTCAATGATGTTGCGGAGTTCCTCAACCGTCCTCGGCATTCCTTCTACAGATGCAGAGGCTGCCACGTACGTCCTCATCACGTCCAAATAGCACTTTTTCCCTTCTGGATCAGGTCTATCTCGTCCATTCAGTGTAACCCCGTGGGATTCAAGGAATTTTCTGAACGCCATGCGTGAGTCAACATCGTTCTTCGTGAGGATGTTAATGTGGCAACATCTGAAGCGCTCCGCCAACTCTTCCCTTGATATATAAGGGAGAGCGACGAAGCTGCCAAGGAAAGCGCGACCGGAGGCTGTCGCTCCAACGATCTGTTTGAATATGCGTTTACTTTTTTTCAATTGATATTCCGCCTTCCCCAAGAGGAAATTCAGCGGGTACTTGCCCTCCGCTTCCGTTCTGCTCTTCACCTCGAAGAAGAGGACGATAACTCGATCTCCATCCCAGACGATGCCACAAACATCGTGGTCTCCTTTGACGATATCGAATCCCTCTCCCGTCCATCTTCTCTCCATCTTCGGCGTCCTCTTCCCTGTTATTCCCATAGCTTTGTAGAACGTCTGGGCGAAGTTGTAATCATATGTGATGAAGCTCGGAGTGTTGGAAAATTCTTCTTTTAAGCAGTCAAAGACCTCAGCTACGGCTGTGAAGTGCGCTGGAATATTCATGTCTGTGTTGTCATTCTTATCCATTTTATCAAGTAGTGACTTATGAACCTCAAATTTGAGTATATAATCAACAGGAAATGAGTAGGCTTGCTCCTCTGCTTTCGGATAATACTCCTCTTGATATTTCCTAGCACCTTCAGAGAAGGAAAGCTCCTTGTATCCAGCAAGGCGAACTCTCATCAACTGGCTTTTTCGTGGATCTCCCTTATCAAACGCTTTCAACTGTCTTAACTGGGCCAGTCTCATGGAATGTTTGCACTTGTGCTGATATTGGTTCTTCGCCTGTTAAATAAATTGCATAACTCTAAAACATTTCCTTTATTCTATTACAGAGTAAGATAACAGTTTGCTAACCTCCATGTTTCCATTCTTGGCAGATATCTGCTTCTCCGTCGATGAACTGAAATTTCTATCGCGTCTGAATTAAAAAACCGCGTGAAAAAAGAAGTGTGAACATTGCGATCAATTACGTTCGCCATTTTCAAACCGGCTTCTATGGAATTTCAGAACATTCAGAATTCCCTTCATGTGATTATATCCTAGCATTACGCATCAAATTGGAACCTGACTAATTTTGTAAATCAAAGGTCCAGTTGTACACTTAAGATATTGCACCCTCTTCGCGCAAATGGTTGAGTACAAAATGTGATTCTCATCACATGTACCTTTTAGGTTCAAGTACATGAGCTTTAGATCACTCGTGATCCCATAGTACTGTTTTTTTTTGCGCGTCGGCAGGCTCCTCTGCATAATTTAATGGCATCATTTAGTGATGTCTACTTACATCCCATTTTGATTCACGAATAACTAAAAAAAAACACTTAAGACAGATCCTTGATCGATGTATCAATTCGCATGAAATCACGTGAGGACGCGAACATCATAAGGTCAAATTATTTTAGCGAAATTGAGACAATGTTGCATATCGACAAAGATGTTGACCTTTGAACTTGAGATGAACCACCAAATGTCGAATCATAAACGTTAATTATGTTCCTTCCATTTCAGATTCAATTGAGTGAGCTGCTAAGATGAAGAATTGCAATTTCCAGGAATCTTGTGGTCAATGCCAAGAAAAGAAAAACAATAAAAAACTGGGGGTAATATGTGTTTCTGATGCCATCAAGATCGTACTGCAGCTAATGACAAATGTCCCCACCCCACCCCTTCAATGCTATGTATCTGCCTTCATCATGAGGGGACCCTCCTAAAGCGGTATTCACATTGCAGGAGGAAATGCTTCAATCCCTTTGGAATACAGGGTGGTCCGCTTAAATTGGGAATTCAGGGAATTTGGGATGTCTCGTTCCAGTACTCATCAATGAAGCACGGGTTCAACATGATTTTTTACCCCTAGATTCAACTGTTCATTAGCGACAAT